TTCAATTTATTATTATGATTTACGATTGTGTTGATTAATCCTTGATTTTTATTCTCATTTTGGAGATGATCATCCTTATCTGAATTTAACTCCTCTTGCTGCTGTTAGTTCTTTAATGCAGCTTGCAATGCACGTTCTAAAAACTGATAATACTCCGGCGTGGGTATCGAATCGCTCGCAGATATTAACGTGATGTACATGTACCAGAAGACGAATAATCGAACGTAATGAGCCATTATTATATAAAATAACCGGTGTAGCTGACGTAGACCGTGGGTATTCGACGTTTGTAATACAAGTGGCTTGAAAAAGAATAAAATAATAAGACGAGAAGAGGGACGACCGACAGAATAACTGTGCAGATACCCGATATCAATGTATTAAATAGTATGTATAAACATTCTTTTCATATCTGAATCCACCGTTTGTTTTTTGTTTTTTTCTCTTTCTCTCCACTCCATCTTTTCTCTGTTCTTATTCTTCTCTCCGTCTTCTTTTTTTGTCAGGATGACCTTCACACTACTATCGTTGAGATCCATCGCCTAAAAACTCTCGGGAAAAAGAGCAAAGCATCCAAGATCTTCTTCGTTCAGTTCCACTACTGAATCCGAAGTTCCATGAATCTTCATCCATCGAAGCGCCTGTCCTAATACAGATACGTGCAGCACGAATCTTTTTGATCTGTAAAGACAGTGAATTCTCCTTGCTCCCTCTACCCAATTCGATCTATGGGCATTCAGTTCAGATTGTTCTAATAGAAGATACACATCTACCGATTTTGACAGCTTCTTGAGGTACTTTTCCCAATATGTGAAGCACAGATCGTCTAGTGTTCTTTCATTATATATCGACGAAAATAATAAGTCCTCCCAGTATTGACATCGATAAATTCGTTTCAACAGTGTGAAGTACAAATGGTTGAGCTCCATTCGCTGAGTATCTGTGAATAATGGATAGATCCCAAATAGCCAGGTGAAGTACGGTAGTACGAAGGTGGAAAAAAGAACTCTTCGTAATTGCATCGAAGACATGCCACTGAGCCTGAATGAATTAATCAGTGCTGTACGTTGACGCACTTTTAGACGAGTCATTCCAATGATGTTTCCCTATCCCATCTTTGTTGTTAACCAATATCCGAGGTACTTAAACGAGGAAATCCATTCAATCGATTGATCACCATATCGGAGCTGTGGCATTGGGTTCTGGTAGCCGACGGCTCCTACTGAAAACATTGCTCGAGTTTTTGAGTAATTTATTGGTTGTACAGCTAGAATCGAGTAGAACTCGAGTTGTTCCAGGAGTGTTTGTAGCCGGCGTTTAAGATCTATACACTGATCTGTATACTTAATACCTATTCGATCCGCTACATTCTAAAAAATTTCCGTATCCTAGAAAACCGAAAAGGGTTCGGAAACCCAAACGTTTTCTCGGGAACCGGAAGAGTATTGTTGAAAACCCATATTAGCAGAAGAACTGAGTTGGTTCCCGAAAGGGTATGCGAAAATGCCTTTTCATTTCCTGAACGGTTTCCGAAAAAACCCAATCTGAAAAGGGTATCATAGGAATCTAAAATGGGTTTACAAAAATACCCAAGTTGAAAACGGTCTCACAGTGAACTAAAATAGGGTTCCGAATTTCAATTGAACATTCAAAAGGATTTCCGAGGATTTAAACATTTCTTAAATGTTCATCAAATTCGTGATTGACATTTGTAAACTTCACAAAAAAGAATTTGGTTTGGAAGCTTATTTAGCGATATTCTTTCTCGTGCTCAGCTTCGAAGATTTTTATTAAAGAGAAAAATACCGATGTAATTAGTATTTCTTATTGAACTATTCAAAATTATTCCTGAGTGAATCTTTCTACGAAATGTGAAATCATATCGTACTTTCAAAATAATTGAATGTTAGTTGCGTATTTAACTGTTGGTGTAATTTTTGAGAATATAAAAAAAAGATATAATGTTAACAAATCGGGAACAAAATAAATAAATTAGACAATCAGCATAAAAGTCTTACTTTTTCTTCATATTTTGCTTTTTTAATACACAACTACATGCCACTGAAATAAGATGACCATACAAGAATTGTTCTCAATTACAAGTTAATAGGATAAATTCAGTGCATCAATGGATCACTGATCACTGAATTATTCATTACAAATAGAATTATTATTTTCTTCTCTAAAAATTTCTTCTTTGTAAAATATTCTCATGAATAAACTACTATTTCAATTCTTCTTTTTCGATTATAATATGACCCTAGAATTCGGTGACTTTTAATCAACTGAATTATAACACATTTTCACTTTCACTTTTTAAATTCTTTTTATATATTCACATATTCTATGAGTTTATTCCAAATATTAAACTGAAATATATTTGAATTTAAATTTATTGATTTGTTATGAGTATCAAAACAAACGTGACTTAGTTCATTTCTTTAAATAAAAATACAGTCTTTCATTTTTATTTTGAGATTCGATTCATATATATATATCAATATACTCGGTGACTTAATTCCAATTATTAAATTAAAATGCAATTCATTTTTATCTTTAGATTTGTTTTATATCTCAATATATCTGGTGAGTTTATACCAATTATTGAACGAAAATGAAATTTCATTTTTTGTTTTAGATTCCTTTTATACAGAAATATATCGGGTGAGTTTATTCGAATTACTAAAAGAAAATGAAATTTTCTTGGTATTTTTAGATTCATTATCTATCGATAGATCCGGTGAGTTTGAATCTATTTCTTGAATTAAAATACAATATCTTTTTTCTTTTTAGATTCGCTTTATATCTCAACATATCTGGTGAGTTTATTTCAATTTATTGAACGAAAATGAAATCTCATTTTTATTTTCAGATTGGTTTTATAACTCAATATATTTGGTGAGTATATTTGAATTACTCAATCAAAATGAAATTCATCTTTTATTTTTAGATTCGTTTTCTATCGATAGATCTGGTGAGTTTGAATCAATTTTTTAAATTAAAATACAATTTCAGTTTTAGTTTTAGATTCGTTTTATTTATGAATATATCTGGTGAGTTTGAATCAGTTTATTAAATATAAAATGAAATTTTGTTTTCTATTTTAAGATTCAATTTCTATCGATAGATCGGGGTAAGTTTGAATCTATTATTTAACTTAAAATATAATTCTATTTTTATTTTTAGAAGAGAATTGTAGGGAAACGTTTGTTGAGCTATGAATTGGTTTGGTGACTATTCTGGTTGAATTGTGCTTTACGTTGCAATGGATGCTAATTAGTTTTGATGGACTAGGACGTTAAGTAAGCTGGTGAGGTCAGATGGTTTTACGAGCAAAAATAAGTTTTTCTCCAAGTGTTTTAGGTGAAAAGGTCGTAATGCTTAGCCTTCTGATGATCTGGTGATTGTGCGACGAAGGATGCCTGGATAAATGAAAGTCTTTCCCTGAATCCCGTGTGCAGCCGACATTTGACCGTTATTGTACTTTTGAGTATGAATAGGTTCATCACAGAGCCTAATCGAATGTCTGGGACCGCTTTGAATGATGTTGCTGCAGGTAGAGTAGTAATGGCTTCCTGTCTAGTCTAGTTGGGTAGAGCTTTTCTCCATACGGAAACCTTTTTTTGGGGTTTTCGAATAAGTATTTGAGGTTTCGATATCGTGGACATTATGGGTTTCCGAGACCTCGGAAACCCTTCTTCAGAAACCCCTAAAGGGTTTCCTATAGTAACAAACTCGGAAACTCTCTAAGGGTTTTCAAGGATACCTAGTTTTTTTAGAGTGTAGTATCATTCTCACTTCTTTAAATTTCTTTAGAATATAGGCTTTGGTAAACGAATAACTATATAACTGTACAAAATGATGTCAATAATTTCTAGGTATTTTATCCAGCATATATGGCGAGAGTCCATGAATATCTTGTGATTGTTTCTTCTTTCTAGTTCGTGGTACACCTAGTATTTCGGGATAGTTCACCAGCGGTATCGGATCTGACACATTCTCCCATCGGGCCAGAGGTGCATCGACGTATGGGTGTGGGAGTACCACCACCGGAGCTTCGAACAGTTTTTCATAGTGTTCAGCAGCGATATTTGCCATTGATTGTGCATTCTTTATTATTTCACCGTTCGATAGCTTGAAACCTCTCAACGAGGAAAAGACAGCCCTGAATTGTCTCTTTGCTTTACTCCAAAATAAGGTACAGTTTTCAGCTGGCGCATGTCTTTCTTTTAATAGTTTGGCCAGATGGTTCAAACAGTATTGAATTATTAGAATTCTTACATGATCTAGAATATTTTTGACAATCATTAATGAATATGTTTATAGTACGTAATTTAGTTAAAACATCAAGATCATGATCATCATTTAATTTTCGTCACCCAATATACTATTCAAAATGAAAAACAAAGCGATCAGTTAAACAAAATAGCTATATTAATTGATTGTATTTTATTTATAATTTATCTTATTTTAGTGCCATTCGGTATATTATTTTTGTTTAAATCAACCAATCAATCTCGTTTAGCATCATTAGCAAAAATAACTAGTACAAATCAATTGCTTGATTTACGTAAATCATCTATGGATTCAGTTTCACTTTTTCATGGATGTCCACATTAATTCAATTTCTTTGTTTTTTTTCATTTAACATTATTCTATATATGTATGTTTTAAAGAAAAAAATACAATAATACACATTCATATGCGTGCTTAGAAAAAAACATAATATAAGGCGATGACCATAGACAAGATGAAGAATAAAACCCAACACCATTATCAACATAAAGACTACCAATTGCTAAATTTTTCTGACATACATATACATTTCTGATGTGCGTAATAGAAAAAATATTTTAACGAATTTTACACACACACTCGTGTGATGAAGAATAATATTTATCAGACTAGAAATATCATTGTTTAAAAAAAAGAAAATGATGAAGAGAAAAGAAAGAAACGGATATTTGATAGTGTGGGTTATGTTGATTATAATCAGATTATCACAATTTTCCCGAATTTCGTTTTTTAAATAAAATCCATAAATTATTTTTACGTTCTTTTCGTGGTGACATTAACATAGGAAGTTGATTTTTATGTGTTATTGAAATCGTACATGGTGGTTGAAGCCATGGTTCACCATCGATTTGCATCGGGAAACTTTCGCGAGTTCTATTTTTGACTATTAAATAAACAAAAAATAATGTATTTATGTATATTTTTTTTTAACCTGATAACCACTGATGAACATTGACCAAGTCGTTTAGCACTTCATCGAACATCAACATAGATAGAACCAACATGAATAACTGATTATACACCAACAACTTCAATTAATTTGTCGCCAATATCTTTAAACAATAAAAAAAGCGATTTTTCTTAATTACCTTTTCATATTTAAATCGATTTGCCTTATAAAACAAATGTCATACCTGACGTTGAACTCGTAGAATATTTACTTTAAATTAAAAAAAATTAAATAAATCATTAATAAAAATTGATTAAAATTAAACATACGAGTTTTTACATTGAAAATTTAATGAAGTTTTACGATTTTTATGTCGATTACCTTCACCTCATAAAGATATTTCGCCATAAATACTTGGAATATTCAATAATGCAATGTCTTTTAAAGATGGTCCATCTGATAAATCAAGAGAAACTTCATCACCCTAAATATATTCTTGATAAACAAAAGATTGAAATTTTTTTTTGATTATTTACCATAATCTATTTTTCATTCTATTGATAAAAAAAATTATTTTATTAAAATTATTTGTTCTAATAAAAATTTTCAAACCTACTACTAAATTTTTCTGGATGTTTTTCACGCATTAAATGAAATCGATGAGCAATCGAAGTCTCCTAAATATTCAAAAAAAATCATTTTCTCATTTTGCTTTATTTAATTACTTAGAATACCGATAGAATAATAATTATTAATTATATTATATGGAATATCATCGTCTTTTTCTTCTGTATCTGTTCGTGTACTAAATTCAGTTTGCCATCGATCGAGCATGATCACCGGTGCTTGAGCAACTTTTTTTTAAGTATTCTATTTAAACTTTCATTTTCATAACCACCATCCAATGCTAAACATCGAGCTAAATCATTTTCTGTGCCTAATGGTAGAACAGTAACTAATGTTCGACGACGAAGTAGTACTCTATCCATAACATCAAGTACCCAATCAACTAGATTCAAAAAACAAAATTATTTTTTATTATGAGAATAAATTATAAGAATAATTTATTTTACCTGTTTCATCATCGTCACAACAAAAGAACACGAAAATCTTTTAGATCTTTGAAAAATTGTAATCTGAATTTTGAAAAAAAAAATTATTATATTGGAGAGAAATTATGAGTTTACTTACCCAGGCATAGGTTCAGTTTTTGCAAGGTTAAAAACTTGACAAGGATTTAATAAAAATTGAAATTTACACATTATTCTAAAATTAAAATAAATAAATTTTAAAAAAAATCGTAATTATAATTATTGTTCTCCTTGTTTACTATCTGCTTTTGGATTGATAAAAACTAGTAATGGATCTGTATTTGATAATGAATTTATTTGAAATAATTCTATTGATCTTTCAACACATGATTCTTCTGGCTTAAGGTCATTTCCACTTCGTGGTACTTTTGGTCGTTCCTAAATTATTCAAATTTATATTTTTTTTTTTCGAATAATTTTTTTTTATACCAAAACAGCTGGACAAATACATCACGGTGGTATAATATGATCTCGATTAGGACCTAATGTACATTCAGGGTTTAATTGTGATGCACATTTATTATGTAATGTTATTTGACACCAACGACAATGAAGATCTGTTATATCATTTTATGTTTTAATCGATTGTTTACATTGATCACATCCTTTAAAATAAAATAAAATAAAAATAAAATCCTTTTTTTATTTTTATTTCAAATAGCGACCAGGACAATTGCCTTCAATCCAATGATATAACATTATTGTGTCAACTTTACATATTTTAGCATATGTTGATGTACAATTAGCTGTTGCTCGATTAGTACATCGTTCATGTAGAACATATTGACAAACTAAAATATTAATTTTATTCATTCATTTGTTTTTAATTGAAATTAAAATAAATTTACATGTGCAACATAAACCTTATTTTTTCAAACCAACTAATATTGTTAAACAAAAGATTACAATAAACAGGCTTATTAAAATGTTTTAATCTCCATGAATGTGTTCCATCATTTGTCACATTCTATTAAAAAAAGTAATCAATTAAACTATTTCTATTCGACTGTTTTTTTTAATACATACTGCATCAAGTCCTCACGAAACAAGAAGAGACACAGTTGTCAAACATTCTCCTTTCCATTCTTCTAATGTAACAGCACCATCATTGTCATAATCGATTTCCTTCATCATCGCTTCGAGAATCTAATCAGAAATAAATCATATATTTAACAACAATGAATTTTATTAGATTTTACTGGTCTTAGTTCGGATATATTCCAACCAAAATATTTCGCAACATTCATCATTTGATTAACAATTGAATCAATTTCTTAAATATAAAAAAAACAATTTCATATTTGTTTTTCCAGATATTTATTTCAAACTTGTTTATCAAGTATTCCATTACTATCTTTATCGTACAACAAAAACATAACTAAAATAAAAAAAAGAAAAGAACAATGATTTCTAAGAAAAATAATTTAATGATTGATTTACATTCAAGTTTTTGTTCTAATGTTGCACCTTCAAGTGATGAAAAATAACATAATATCTTTAAATTGAATTGGTACTGTTTTTATATCAATTTCTTATTGTGATTGAATCATAGCTGTTTGTTGTTATGCTGTGAGATGATGATAATAATGGCTATCACGTGTTAATCACTATCAGATATTTTATTTAATAATTGTGATAATATGCACAAAATACCCAAGGATCATCTGAGTTACCAACATTATATACAGCTAAATGAATTTTTTTATTTTAATTTATATATTTTTAAATAATATTTTTTCTTACCATTATTATGTAATGAATGAATTGAGTGAATGAAAGAATTAGATTTTCTGAATGATTGTCGAGAATCTCAAGGTGAATCATAATGTTGATTATGTGAATTATCTCGATGGATAAGACTTCCTTTTCTAGGTTGAAATATACCTATTAATTATATTTGATTAGTTTAATAACAAAAATCGATTCATTTATCTTACTCCTCCGAGTTTTTGGATCGTTAGATCCAGTTGCGCTGATATTATCAGTAAAATTAGCAAGATTTCGTTTTTGTCGTAAGAATTTATCAGGTAAAAATGAAGAACTGGATAATTTATCAGCAATTTCAAATGTTCGACTTGTTGTTATTGATCCTATTGTTGTTGATGTTGATGATGGACCACTTGATAAGGTTGTTGGTATCGTTGGTGGTATTGCTGCAGTAGCAAGTGAAAGAACGCCAATAGCCGATGGTGCATCGACTGGTACGACAGGAGCCGATCTTTTAATAAATGATAAAAATAGATGTCGAGATAAATCTAAGAAATCCATAATGGTGGACCAATGAGGCTCATTTGTAGTAAAACATAGATCATCCGTACTTCACAAACACTGAATCCTATTGGTCCACTATTATGGATTTCTTGTAGCCTCCATTGTGTTTCATACTTTTCCCTTATTTTATTGTTTGTCTTAAAAGGTACTCACAGGTATATCAGAATTATCAAAAATTAATTCCAGAAATTGTCGATAACCTTGATAATCTAGTTTCTAAGGGAAAAAGAAAGTATATTCCAAATCAATAAAAAAAAGACAAAGAGGATAAAAGATTAGATGTTTTTTTTTGATGAACTAATGTTTTTTTTTTAATTAAAACTGTTCATAAAAGTTCTTAATCATCCTATTTCGATCAAGGTTTAGCTTCATCATGTTTATGATTATGACGTAAAAATATAAACTCTTGAATATTTGTTTTATCGCCATTGTATGTAGAATTTGAAACGATGAAGAAAAAATTACTATGTAAAGTTTGTAATGGTGCAACAAATGACATCGAAGGTATTTCAATCATTGAATATAATTTTTCAGCATCATGATCTTCAGGCTTTAATTCATCTTCGTGATGAATTGTAATGATTGGTGTAAAGTCTTTAAATATTTCACCTAAAACATCATGATGACCTATAAAAAAATAAGGTTTATTTAAAAAAGAGTTATTTTGAATCGGAAAGGATATACCATTAAAAAAGCACGGACCATCTTTTTTTCTAATATCGTTCGATTTTTGTACTTTTAAAATTATCACATCGGTATATCGATGTTGATATTGCCATCCTTTTGACGTGGTAGAATTATTTTCTTGACCTTTTTTTTGTTTCGAAACCAATAAAAAAAAAAGTTCAGATACTTTTTATATAGTTGAGTATTACCTATTTTTGCTATAATACTATCTCGATGCACTTTGCTTTCTTCCAAAACTTCTTTGAGGATTTCTTTTGCATTATGTCCTTGTTGAAATAAAATTGAGACAATTTCTTTAACATGTGGGTCTTCTAATAAACGTGATACAGTTTCTTCTGGTGTTGTAGCAAATCCGATTTCACAGATTTGCATAATACGATTGATATTATTCAATTCCTATAGAGACGATTTCCTTAATAACGACGGGAAAATTTTCACATCTTTCGTTTGATTCCGTTCTCAGTCATTTTACATTCGACTGAAAATATTTTTATATTTGGATAATCCNATTTTCCTAAGCCGAGATATATGCGAAATAAAAAAATGTTCTTTTTCTTCTAATACAGTTTTTATACTTTAAACTGCATTTGATGTTCAACGTAAATATACTAAAAGATGCAGCACGTTTTGGGCTTTCTCCCTATATATAGTAAGTTAATAGATAAAACCGTATAGTAATAAAAAACAAAAAAAATCAAAGGATATAATTTCAATTGTCCTCGACTGTATATATTCAAATATATATATATCGATTAGTATTAGTTACAACAACATAGTGAATCATTACCGAAGCCGGAATCTAATGCAGAAAAGCATTACTATTATAATATATTGTAAATATATTTATTCTTTTTACATTCTAAAAAAAGAAACTAAAGACAACGAATGCTAAACTTGTCAATATAGAAACACAATATGCTTATTTCTTTTGTTTACATATATATATATATATGTTTGGATCGAGGGTATGTTTTCGAATGATATGTTACTTGTCATGTTCTTCATGCGATTATGGAAATGATGAAATAGCTTTTTGCATTTATTCGATTGAACTCATTCTTTGAAAGCACAGAGTAGTCCGAGCATGTCTTCAACATTTGGATTTATTTTTCTAATATTAATAACAATATCAATAACGACGTATGCAAAAAATCATAGTGCCGTTCAAAAAAATCGAATACGAATAACAGATCTTTATCGACAACATATTTTAACGCGACCATTAATGACAAATCTTAGTCAAACAACAGTTGCTGTTGGTTTAGGAATACTTGAAGTAGCAGGCATTGATCCACAAAAACAGGTTTGTATTACGATTTAAATAAGTTTTCCTTTTCTTTTTCGTCAAAAGATATATTAGAAATATTAATGAAGACAAAATTTACTTTTATCTTTATAATTAAGGTTATTACATTAAATGTTAATTTTGAATTCAAATGGTGTGATGAACTTTTACAATGGAATATAAGTGAACAAGCATGTGTTGAAGAAAATCGTTCAGAAATATTCTTTAGTGCACATGAAATTTGGACACCAGATATAACTGCAATAAATGGACCAGGACCAATAAAAAAAGAATCAAAACTTCAATATCCCATATCAGTTGTTTGTACAGGACTTGCTCAATGGTCATATCAAGAAAAACTTGTTTCATTTTGTGAAATTGATGTTTTAAATTTTCCATTTGATCGTCAATATTGTTCTATTCAACTTCAATCAACTATATATGATTCAAGTCAATTAAAATTACGTAGTTTATATAATGTTGTACGTTTATATAATTATATTAATACGGAATGGAATATTTCACATACAACAATTAAAGAAATTAATTTATATAATGCAAATCATAAACGTAATTTTAGTACACTTCAAATTGATATGGAACTTGTACGATTTTCACGTTTTTATCTATTAAAATTTATATTACCATTTTGTATTATATCATCACTTGCTGTATTTTCATTTTGTTTACCAACAGATAGTGGTGAAAAAATAGCACTTACTCTTAGTATTTTACTTTCATTAATTATTTATTTACAATTAATATCTAATTATGTCCCAAAAACTGAACGTGGTCTTTGTACATTAACATTATATTCCAATGTAGTATTTCTTCTTGTTTTTTTTTCATGTATATTTAATACATTAACAATATTTATTTATTATCATGAACAATATTCTTATCGACAAAAAATTCCAAAACGTAAAAAACATATTTTAACTACAGTACATAAATCATTAATTGAATTAAATAAACAACGTTGTTTATATTTAAGAAAACGTCACAATATACATGAAAATTCGCCTGAATATACAAATACTGATGCTATAGAATTATTACATGATATACAATATTTTCGACAATCATTAATGAATATGTTTATACGACGCAATTCAATCATAACACCAACAACATTATCATCATTTGATTTTCGTCATCCATTATTTTATCCAAGATCTCAAGCTAAATGGTCCGCCAAACAAATATCTATATTAATTGATCGTATTTTGTTTATCATTTATCTTATATCTATGCCATTAAGTATATTAATTTTATTTCAATCAATAAATCGATCTCGTTTAGCATCATTAGCAAGAACAAATAGTACAAATCAATTACTTGTTATTCGTAAATCTACTATTGCTCCAGTGCTACTTTTTTGTGGATGTCAATTTTAATTCAATTCCCATTTTACTCAACATTATTTTGTCTCTCCGTGCTTTCGTGTGTGTGTGTGTATGTACGTCTTTGAAATAAAAATATAATAATACAGATACATATATATATAATTAGACATTTACCATCATAGAAAACAAAAGAAATACATTATAAGGCGATGATCATAGGACATAAGAAGAATGAAATAAAACACCACTATCAATATCAAGACTAACAATTGCTAAATTTTGTCTAACATACGCGTACAATTCTGCTGTACTCTTAATAGACAATGTCAAACACGTACACACATACACACGAGAATAATATCTATCAGACTAGAAACATCACTGTTTAGAAAAAGAAGATGATGAAAAACGAAAAGGAAAACAAAACAGTTGTTTTAATAGTTTGTGTGTGTTTTATGTTTATCATAATGAGATTATCACAGTTTTCCCGACTTTTATTTTTTAAATAAACGCCATAAACTATTTTTACGTTCTTTTCGTGGTGCCGTTAACATTGGAACTTGATTTTTATGTGTTATTGAAATCGTACATGGTGGTTGAAGCCAAGGTTCACCATCGATTTGCATCGGGAAACTTTTGCGAGTTCTATATATTTTTTTAAAATTTATTAAACAAAATCACAATGAAAATAACATTATTATTGTTTATTTATTTTTACCTGATAACAACGGATGAACATTGACCAAGTCGTTTCGCACTTGATCGAACACCAGCATAAATAGAACCAGCATGAATAGCCGATTGTACACCAACAACTTCAATTAATTTGTCGCCAATATCTTTAAAAAAAGAAATAAGCATTTTTCTTAATAATTTTTTAATATTTAAATTGATTTACCTTGTAAAACAAATGTTATATCTGACGTTGAACTCGTAGAATATTCACTTCAAATAATAAATAAATTAAATCAATAATAAAATTTTTCTAACAATTCAACATACGAATCTTTACGTTGCAGTCTTAAAGGAGTTTTACGATTTTTATGTCTATGTCCTTCGCCCCATAACGATATTCCACCGTAAATACTTGGAATATTTAATAATGCAATACCTTCTAAAGATGGTCCATTTGATAAATCCAAAGAAACACCATCACACTAAATATATTTAATAATCAATAAAAAAAAAATACCAATTGTTTTTTATTGTTTTTGAATATTTACCATTATATCAATATCTTCATGTAAATTTTTACATGTAGAAAAAATAGCTTCTGATGTACCGAATTCTAAATACCATAATCTATTTTTCATTCTATTGAACAACAAATAATTTTAATAAACTAGATTCTTAATTACAAAAAATTTTCTAACCTGCTACTAAATTTTTCGGGATGTTTTTCACGCATTAAATGAAACCGATGAGCAATTGAAGCATCCTAAATATTCAAAAAAATAACAATAATAGATCTTTGTTTATTTGTCTTATTCTAAATACTTACAACACCGATAGAAAAATAATTATTAATTATATTATATGGAATATCATCGCCTTTTTCATCTATATCTGTTCGTGTACTAAATTCAATTTGCCATCGATCGAGCATGATCACCGGTGCTTGTGAAATTTTTTTAAGTATTTTATTTAAACTTTCATTTTCATAACCACCACCCCATGCTAAACATCGAGCTAAATCATTTCCTGTACCTAATGGTAGAACAGCAACTGGTGCTCGACGACGAAGTGGTACTCGATCCATAACATCAAGTACCCAACCAACTAGAGAAAAAAAGCAAAAGAATCATTTTGTTTGTTTTTTCAACGATAAAAGTTATTATCTTTTGTTTTTACCTGTACCATCACCACCACAACAAAGAACACGAAAATCTTCTAGATCTTTAAAAAATTGTAATCTATATTAAGAAAATGAATGTCATTATATGAAAGATTAATTATGAATGAACTTACCCAGGCATAGGTCCAGTTTTTGTAAGATTAAAAACTTGACGAGGATTTAATAGAAATTGAAATTTTCGCATAATTCTAAAATCAAAATCAACATATATATCTTTCAAGAAATCTTAAGTATAATTACCGTTCTCCTTGTTTACCACCCGACTTTGGATTAATAAAAACCAATAATGGATGTGTATTTGGTAATGGATTTATTTGAAATGATTGTATTGATCCTTCAACACATGAGTCTTCTGGCTTAAGACCATTACCAGTTCGTGGTAGTTTTGGTCGTTCCTAAATTATAAAAAAAAAAATAATATTTACATGTTTTCTTTATCCTTCATTATTATACCAAAACAGCTGGACAAATACATGATGGTGGTATAATATGATCTCGATTAGGACCTAATGTACATTCAGGTTTTAATTGTGATGCACATTTATTATGTATTGTCATTTGACACCAACGGCAATGAAGGCCTGTTATACCATTATATGTTTTGATGGATTTTTTACATCGATCACATCTTTTTTTTAAAATATAAAAATAAAATAAACATAGAGGCTTTTTGTTTTTCTTTTTGTTAAATACCTTCCGGGACAATTGCCTTCAATCCAATGATGTAACATAGTTGGATCAACTTTACGTGTTTTAGCATATGTTGATATACAATTAGCCGGTGCTCGATTAGCACATCGTTCATGTACAACATATCGACAGACTAAAACATATTAATTTAAATATATTTGTTTTGATTAAAATAAAAAATAAAAAAAAATGAATT